GGTCTGCCACCTTCGCTTGATCCGTGCCTCTTCCATTAAAACTCTGACCTCCTCATCTTTGATGCACCTCACTTGGTCAAGATCACGAGCCTTCCTCTCTCTCACCTTAGCCTCGTCCTCGAGTCTAAAGGCTCCATAAATGGCACAAGATCGGAATCCATGATTTTGTTGCACTCATATTCTCCAGGCTCTAAGTTGCATTTTTCTAACCTATCAAATAGCTTCATCGTGTTGTAACAAACTTTAGCATGTGGCCGGACTAAATCCCACTTTCTCAATTGTAACTTTGTACCAATATTTCTAAAACGAGTCCTCTTAAATCGATTTTTAAACACTAATCCATAACCATAAGTTATTTCTTTTGATCTTCAAGAATCTTGAACTTCTCCATGTCAATGTGGTGCTTATGGGATATGCCCAAAAAGTCGATTTAGTACCACGAAAACCCATAGAAGAATCAAATTCAAGTACCTTTGGATCTATCTTGGAAATCGAAGTATATCTTCTTGAGAATTCATCAGCAACAACACTCTTATATTTAACTAGATCATAACCATTAATGGAATTTGTGTTGAGATCTCCTTATCTTACATATTCTTGAAAATATTCGTCCTTTAGGGGCAAGAAAAAAGCTGGCACAAAATATGAACTCAAACCCTCAGTTATGGACTCCTTTTTAAGCAACCTTTTCTCTCGTGTTTGCAAAATTTCATGAACTTCTAGATTAATGCAATATGTTGCCTCGTTTGGAAGGATAGAATCAACAATCAAATTAATATTATGTTGAGCATCTCTATTAGGTGAAAAGCTAAGCTCACATATGGGATGCTCCAACGGATCATCATCAAACTTCGGAAGTAAATCCTCAACTTGTAGATGCAGTTCATGCTCCTCCTCATTTATTGGAACAACGTTCAAAGACTTTTCTCTATTGATTGGATCAATTATTTGTAATTTGGTCAGAAAAGAATCATCATTGAGCTTCAGATTTTTAGCAATTTCTTCGAGATTCAATGGTACTAAAATAATCTTACGTTCATCCTTTGTAGAAGAATAGGTGTTAAGGTCTTCATCATATTTAGCACACTTATCATACACCCATGGTCTTCCAAGTAATAAGTGACAAACATCCATCTTCACTACATCACACCAAATCTGGTCTTTATAGATCTTGCCAATAGAAAAAGATACTAAGCATTGACGAGTTACCTCTAAACCATCATCATCATCTCCAACTTCAATGCTATAAGGATATAGATGAAGTTTGGTTGACAAGTCGAGTTTGGAAACCATCTTTTCAGAAACGATATTTATGTGACTCCCACAATCAATGATCAACGAACAAACTTTTCCATAGGAGGTACATCTAGTGTGGAAAAGAGATTTATGTTGTCTCATTTCTTAATCTTCTTGAACCCAACGACCTTTTCTTGCTTGCATATTAGGTTCACCACCTGCTGCTCTGATACCAAATTGATGTGATTCTTCGAGTTAACAAAGAACCAACCGACCAGGATCAAGATCTTGAAACGAAAACGTAGTTTGTGGACCGGTTTCAAGAAACAACGTATCTCAAGTTTTAGGACTCAGAATCTCATGATTCAAAAACGAGGTGAAAGATGACGATCTGAACTACAAGAAAGACTAGTTACTCATTCAAAACAAGTAAATATTGATGCTGCACCAGTTCAATGAAAGTTATGATTCTATGATATCAAAAGAACGAATTTAGATCAAGAAACGTATTCTTGAAAGATCAAGAACTAAACAAGTTTCTAAAGTCACCACTTGGAATTTACTATATCTTTATAACAATTCAATTTGTAAGTGATTTTAAGGATACGCGGATTGATTTGATACAAAATGATAACTTGAGTTAGATTGAACAAATAAAGATATAGTAAATTCAAACCACGTGAGGAGGATGATTCCAGTCTTAGTGAAATATTCACCCTCGATCTGGGCTCACAATGGCCAGTACTGATGAACAAGAAAAAGAGCTATGAATAAGATTGAAAATAATAGTGTATTGCTTTGGGATGCGTGTTATAATGTGTTTAATGAATAGTTAGACCCTTTTATATAGTACGAGAATCCTATTTTAGGTACAATTATGTAAAAGTTAAAAAATATTCTGTTTAACTGATTGCTCGTTCTCCATCGATACGTGCCGACATTCATGTCGTGATATCCGACCGTTCTATTACGGCCTTGTGTTGGTGGTGCTTGGTTGCGTGACAACGCTCTCCAAAATCTTTTGGATGTGAACCGATCCCGGATTATGAGCCCAATATTCTCGAGGGAGGCGTCATGCCCGACTCTAACTTAGTGAGACCTTGCCTCGATTTAGGTACCTATCATCATGTCTCGAGCTTTGTTTACCGGCTGGGTGGAGCCCGATTTTACCCTTATACAAAGCTAAAGCGTTAAAGGAAAAGAAGATAGAAGGACCACGATCGAACTGCTCAATTGTTGGCCTCCATTCGGGCAAATCTCAGGATGGGGCAAAGTTCAAAGAAGAAGAAGAGGAAGAGTGGTGGAGTAGGGCGGCGCAACAAGTCATCCAAATCCAAAGATCACAATTCGATTGGTGACGGTAATTCTGAATTGCTTGCCGAAGAGCTCACTGCATTGTAAGCTTATACTTCTTTAACTCAACTCACCTATTGATTACAAAAAGGATTAAAACTGTTGTATAAATGAGTGTCTTGCTCAAATGCCCTAGCAAGGGCAGTAAAGAGTAACTACTTTCCAGGAACACTGTCAATACAACCTTCATATTGAGGTTGTGGTATTCTCTACAGTTTGTCCCAGTATCAATAAGACTTACTAATAACTAGGATCTATATAGTGGTAAAGTTGTAATATTGATCCTTCTATGAATCTGACAATTGCAGATTACTATTTTACACTAATTGGACCGTAATCTTCCAGATTATCTTTACTTGCTATTTACTCAAGAAATATTAACTAACTGTTTCGAAGCATGCCTGCAGACTTTAATGGAATTTCTAGGGACGAATCAGATTTGAAATTGGATTTATCCTCCTTGTATTCGAAAGCCAAATCCCAGGCGCGACCTGGCACTGACTAGTGATTAGATTCATTCCTGTCCTGTCTATGAAATGGTGTACTGTGCTCTCTTTCCTCACCATTTTTGTCCAATTTAAAATGTTGTACTGGAGTGACGGGCCATTATAGACATAGCTATCTTGATGTATTGTAATAGCTTTGGTGGAGATATCAACAGGACCCTCTTCTTTCCTTAATATGGAACATTCTTTTCTTTTTTCCGGGTCTCTTGTCAAGGATTTTGACAAAATATCCTTCGAAAACGAAAAGAGTAGAACTGGCTATAAAATTTTGTTTTTGTCTCCATTGATTTTCTTGAGGGAAAAAGGATATGTGATTCCACAGAAGGGATGCATCTGAACACAAAAAGGAGTAAATCCCTAACCAAGGTTTATGCAGAGTCAACAAAGGAGTGTCAGTCCAAACTGTTCATTCACTCGTCTATTTGAGTGCTCAAATATTTGCCCTTAACAGCAAAATGTTTCGAGTATGGAATAAACTCTTTTATGCTACTGAATGTATGTCATCTATCGGCCATATTTTCTATGATAAAGTATGTGGAGAGTAATTGCTCGACCTGTCCAATTCAGGTCCCTGGTTTTATGAAATATTCTGGAATGTTCCTTATTTTATGCTGGCATAGCCCAGCCTATTCCAATTCTATTACTCTGTAGCTTTTTTCCAAATGCAATTTTAACAATTGTTTGGTGCATTTTCCCGGAATGGGATGACTAAAATTTTGTAGAGCATCTTCTGCTAATTATATGCATGTGGGGAAATAGCATGATTTTCTTTGCATCTATTTGGTGCAAATCAGTTGCATAATTAGTAGTTTATCTTTTGCTGAATTATACTGAGATTGAGAAGCTATAGTGTTTTTGGCCTTCCAGTTCTCTATTTTTCTCTACTCTAACCTTTCTTCAATTGATAATTTATCTAGAAAGAAATATTTATTTCCATACATGGCCTTACTCATTGATTCACGGAATGTTTAGGTGTGCCATATTTCAAGAAGATTGTGAAGTTGTTTCAGAGTCACCTTCACAGCTTCATATCCAGCTCAGGTTTTGGACATTAGAAATACTCATAAAACTCCACTGTACTGTCTTTATTCGTTTGTACCAAAGTTCTACGCATGAATTAACAGGCCATACTCAAAGGATGCTGGCTATGAAGATTCAGATGTGTCAGCTATTCTTTCAGTGAGGTTAACAGGCTGCACTTTTATGTGCCTTTTTGTGCTCTGTTGTCTATTCTTTTCTGGGTATTCATTTCTTCTAATTTCATCCTGTCTTTGTTCCTTTTATATTTTAGGTGTTTGCCTGGGTATCCATACAAGACCCCAAAGCTTCAGATAATACCAGAGAAAGGTTTATCCAAAGCTGACGCTAACAACCTTTTGTCTTTGCTTTATGATCAGGTAGAGAATGGCTTTTAATTTAGTAACACTGTCATCTTTTCCCAACTCGTATCGTTGTTATTGTTGGTTCAGTCCGACTACTTGCTTTTATGCTTAGTTGGGAGTCATTGCATTTAGGAATTTCAGACTAAAACTCCCAGCAAGATGGAAATAAAGCTGATGATTGGCATATTTAATAGGCTTAGAGTTTATGCTGTGCTAAATTGTGCGGCTAAAAATAAGTACAAATTGCACTATGATATTCTACTGAATTGACAGATGCCAAAAAATGGGAGATCGAGGGGCTGTAGTTGCTGTGAGCTACGATCAATCATTCAAATCAATAAACTACCCCTCAATCCCTAAGAAAGTTGGGTTTGACAACATGAATTCTCCGTTACTATTCCACTTTATTCGTTTAAATGAAGTTTAATACATAATACATATTTGAAAGGTTAAATTGGTTAATTATTGAAAGACTCAAAAGTCGAATCCAAATCTGGGGTGGGGGGTTGAAATAGATTCATTCAAGTACTATTTTGCTTATGGAAGGTTCTTGCTTCCATTTCATTTTCCTACAAGGCTTCATCTTGCCCAAAGTGTATGCTTGACAATATTGTTTCCTTTCTGTTCCCTATCATTCTGATCCTTTCCCTTTGTATTTAGGATTAAGTTCTATTTGTACAAGTGCTTTTCTACTAATACAATATCTTTCTCTTACCTCAATCCTTTTATGCGGAGTGACCTATAACAATTGTCTGCCACATGCTAATCACCTATGTTGATAACAATTGAAATACAAGAACAAGGGAAGATCAAAGCACGTAAAAGAGATAGAAGTTAGACACAAAGCTTAATAAGATACCGTCATTAGTTAGAATTAGAAGACAATCCTAATCACCTCTACTAGAATCAAGTATGCACCTATACCAGTAAAATCCTCAAAAGATTGATCACTCTTGCAAATTCTATGGCAAATCAAGTAGCAATTAAGAGATCACCTAAGAAATTCTTACTAAATTCAAACTAAAAGTCATACTAACTTTTGTCCAAGCTAAGGAAATGAACAAGGGCTTTAGAGTTTATAGCTAGGTTAATTATTTACATAGATTGCCCAAAATAATCCAAATGATGTGATTTTTCGAGTTAACAAAGAACCAACCGACCAGGATCAAGATCTTGAAACGAAAACGTAGTTTGTGGACCAGTTTCAAGAAACAACATATCTCAAGTTTTAGGACTCGGAATCTGATGATTCAAAAACGAGGTGAAAGATGACGATCTGAACTACAAGAAAGACTAGTTACTCATTCAAAACAAGTAAATATTGATGCTGCACCAGTTCAATGAAAGTTATGATTCTATGATATCAAAAGAACGAATTTAGATCAAGAAACGTGTTCTTGAAAGATTAAGAACTAAACAAGTTCCTAAAGTCACCACTTGGAATCAATTAACGTGATAAAGAAACACCACACACAATTGAAAACAAGATAAAGACTATCACCACCTTGCTTGGAACCAAAAACAAGGATAAAGAAGACTAAATAGAGAAAAACACTATATTGTAAAACTAGGGGAATTTCTACTCTACAAGGCATGAGAACCCTTTATATAGGCATATGGTCTCTTCTTTGATGACTACAATTCCTATTCTAATAAGGAAATAAAATCTCTAAAGACAAGGAAAGTAAAATCCCTATTCCACAAGGAAAATAAACTAGAATCCTACTAAAAGGAAAATCCTTATTCTAAAAGGAATAAAATAAATCATATTTTAAGAAGGAAAGAATCTTGGCTTCTTGAAATCAATCTTGAGCTTCTTGGACTTCTTGCGCTTCTTGAAATTAAGTCCATATGTTTCGACTTGAGCTCTAAAACATGATCTTGGCCAAAATTAATAAATTTTAACATAGATTCTTCATTTTCATCATTCTCCCCTGGTTGAGAAAGACTCGTCCTCGAGTCTAAAGGCTCCACAAATAGCACAAGATCGGCAACTTCCATGATTTTGTTGAACTCATATTCTCCAGGCTCTAAGTTGCATTTTTCTAACCTATCAAAGAGCTTCATCCTGTTGTAACAAACTTTAGCATGTGGCCGAACTAAATCCCACTTTCTCAATCGTAACTTTGTACCAATATTTCTAAAACGAGTCCTCTTAAATCGATTTTTAAACACTAATCCATAACCATAAGTTATTTTCTTTTGATCTTCAAGAATCTTGAACTTCTCCATGTCAATGTGGTGCTTATAGGATATGCCCAAAAAAGTCGATTTAGTACCACGAAAACCCATAGAAGAATCAAATTCAAGTACCTTTGGATCTTTCTTGGAAATCGAAGTATATCTTCTTGAGAATTCATCAGCAACAACGCTATCATATTTAACTAGATCATAACAATTAATGGAATTTGTGTTGAGATCTCTTTATCTTGCATATTCTTGAAAATATTCGTCCTTTAGGGGCAAGAAAAAAGCTGGCACAAAATATGAACTCAAACCCTCAGTTATGGACTCCTTTTTAAGCAACCTTTTCTCTTGTGTTTGCAAAATTTCATGAACTTCTAGATTAATGCAATATGTTGCCTCGTTTGGAAGGATATAATCAACAATCAAATTAATATTATGTTGAGCATCTCTATTAGGTGAAAAGCTAAGCTCACATATGGGATGCTCCAACGGGTCATCATCAAACTTCGGAGGTAAATCCTCAACTTGTAGATGCAGTTCATGCTCCTCCTCCTTTATTGGAACAACGTTCAAAGACTTTTCTCTATTGATTGGACCAATTATTTGTAATTTGGTCAGAAAAGAATCATCATTGAGCTTCAGATTTTTAGCAATTTCTTCGAGATTCAATGGTACTAAAATAATCTTACGTTCATCCTTTGTAGAAGAATAGGTGTTAAGGTCTTCATCATATTTAGCACACTTATCATACACNCTATCATACACCCATGATCTTCCAAGTAATAAGTGACAAGCATCCATCTTCACTACATCACACCAAATCTGGTCTTTATAGATCTTGCTAATAGAAAAAGATACTAGGCATTGACGAGTTACCTCTAAACCATCATCATCTTCAACTTCAATGCTGTAAGGATATGGATGAAGTTTGGTTGACAACCCGAGTTTGGAAACCATCTCTTCAGAAACAATATTTATGTGACTCCCACGATCAATGATCAACGAACAAACTTTTCCATGGGAGGTACATCTAGTGTGGAAAAGAGATTTATGTTGTCTCGTTTCTTAATCTTCTTGAACCCAACGACCTTTTCTTGCTTGCATATTAGGTTCAACACCCGCTGCTCTGATACCAAATTGATGTGATTCTTCGAGTTAACAAAGAACCAACCGACCAGGATCAAGATCTTGAAACGAAAACGTAGTTTGTGGACCGGCTTCAAGAAACAACGTATCTCAAGTTTTAGGACTTGGAATCTGATGATTCAAAAACGAGGTGAAGGATGATGATCTGAACTACAAGAAAGACTAGTTATTCAAAACAAGTAAATATTGATGCTGCACCAGTTCAATGAAAGTTATGATTCTATGATATCAAAAGAACGAATTTAGATCAAGAAATGTGTTCTTAAAAACGTGTTCTTGAAAGATCAAGAACTAAATAAGTTCCTAAAGTCATCACGTGGAATCAATTAACGTGATAAAGAAACACCACACGCAATTGAAAACAAGATAAAGACTATCACCACCTTGCTTGGAACCAAAAACAAGGATAAAGAAGACAAAATAGAGAAAAACACTCTATTGTAAAACTAGGGCAAACCTCAAAAACGTGAATTTCTACTCTACAAGGCATGAAAACCCTTTATATAGGCCTAGGATCTCTTCTTTGATGACTACAATTCCTATTCTATTAAGGAAATAAAATATCTAAAGACAAGGAAAGTAAAATCCCTATTCTACGAGGAAAAGAAACTAGAATGAATCTTGGCTTCTTGAAATCAATCTTGAGCCTCTTGGACTTCTTGCGCTTCTTGAAATTAAGTGCATATGTTTCGACTTGAGCTCTAAAACATGATCTTGGCCAAAATTAATAAAATTTAACATAGATTCTTCATTTTCATCACCAAAGATAGCCTTAAAACATCATTAGCCATTTTGGATAAAAACCATCTCTCCACAAGTATCTCTGCTATCGCGGTCAAGCTAAGTTTGACTGGTTTAAGCAATCACAGCCATGTCTCCGCTATCACGGTCTTCTGCGCCTAGGTGCCCCTCCGTGTTTGCGCCTTGCCTTCTGCGATTGCGGTTCACTAAGTCTTTTTATGGGGTCGCGACTTGAACTCTACGAACGCAGCTCTCTTCTACCGGTTCAGAAACTGCAGCTGCAATTTGTGATCCAAGGCTCTTTTCTACAGCTCCACGCAAAGCTCCCCATCATATCCCTCCTTCCATAGTAGCAATGTATAGTATGAAAGGGACTTCTCTAAATGATTCATTGACGCTCCCAACCTCTTGATCATCATTCCAGCGCCTACAGCTCCTTAGCTTGACACTAACCAAAAAAAAAAGCTCCTTAGCTTGACTCCTTGTAAAAGGTTTTGTAGGCGTGGCCATGGGCACAGATTGATCACATGTAGTCCATGCTCCAACATTAGCTTTACTTATTGTTAGGTGTCCCATTTGGTGGAGGGAATGAGATGTTGTCTAGGGCAATCCTCACCGCTTCAGCTCGCTTTTGGCTTGGGTTGGGCCCAAGGTCATTTTTCTTAGCACTTATGATCTTAACTACAATAACAATACCTGATCTGCCGTAGCAGCTGCTGGTTGGTTGCTTTCTCAATATCCGGATGACTGGTTGCTTTCTCTCCTCTTCTCAGGCTTTCCCAGTACAAATATCACTACAATTCCTAGGAACACCTTTGACTCTATGATGAGAATAGTAGTTTGAGAAGATTAACCGTGATATTACGTGCTCAAGGCATGTCTAAAATTCTATGGCTAATATCATTGTTTTATAGGACTATTAAGTGTGGCTTCTAAATTGCGTTCTTTCCAGGTTGTTTTTCTGTGTTTGTACTCTGTTCTTAAGGATATGTTGGTTTTATTAAGATGATAATTGGGTTCTATTGCTGTAATAGTATTAATAAGAAGCATGAATCCTGTTACTTGAAACATAGTCAACATGCAGTACTAAATTGGTGTTTGGTTAGGATAGACATATTTGCTGTATTTCTCAATGCTCACATTTTGGTTAGTGAAGGTTAGTTGCTCGTTGGTCTAAGGAGCTTCTTTTTCCAGTATGTCAACTTCCAGATTTATTTACAACATCCCTACACTTGTGAAACTCGTGCAGGTAGATCAATGAATTTGGAAGTTTTATTACAGTTGATCATTTCCTCTACTCATCGTTGCGTTTAATGAGATGCATAATATCGGGCTTTGCGACTTTCTGTGAATCATTTCATGCAGAGTGTTTTCTGGCTTATCCTCGCATACTTGGTTAAAGTAAATAAAGGTTTACCTGCTTTATTAAAGTAATGTAGGCTGCTAACAAGCATTTTGATGCGCTCATGTCTTTTCTTTTACGGCCTTTGTTTTAACTACACTGAGTTGTTTGGTTAATACCTACAACTTTCGTGTTATCTCACTTATAACTTTTAAACCATCCCAGGCCAGCTCCAATGCTCGAGAAGGGCGTGTAATGATCTACAATTTGGTTGAAGCTGCTCAAGAATTCTTGTCTGAAATTGTTCCACAGGAGCATTTGCATGGATCGGTAAGCTGTCTTGCTTTCATAATTGCTTTTTTAACTGCAGCAAAGTAGTATTCTGTTCCTTTTTCATAGCAGAGCATAGGAAGCACACAACTTTCTCCTCTTTGTTTTAGTTCTTTAATGTGCAATGTTGGTGGTGTACCATTTTAGTTGGAAATGCATGATGCCTAAAAAGTTGATACCATTATCCTAGAGATATTTGGAATTTGACCAAGTGCATTTTATTTGTTTCAGGTTTCATGCCAGTCGACAGATATTACCAGCCAATTTACTTATAAGGATGCGACAGCTTCATCTGGCGATACCTGTTCTTTTGGTGGACAATTTGTATATGGCTTTCTAGATCTTTTTAGTGGCTCAGGTGAGTCGTGGCATTGGAGCCTGGGAATGAATGATACTGGTTGCATAGACTCTTTGGTGCAGTCCCATGTATCAGAAGGTCTCACACATGAATATGACAATCAGCAAAAGAAAATTGACCAAATTGTGAAGCCAGCATTGAATGAAGCAGCAAAGCAAGACTCTTTGCGTAAGGCTGAAATGAAATTGGATGATCTTGAAGAAGAGAGTGTAGGCGAGAGTAAAAGTTGTAGTGATTTGAGTAAAAGTTATACGGATGAATCAACTGAAGACCATGTCATGTGCAAGGTAAATTTATACTCCCTACGTTTTAATTTATATGAACCTATTTCCTTTTAGTCCGTGCCAAAAAGAATGACCCCTTTCCATATTTGGAAACAATTTACTTTTATGCAATGATTTATAGCCACACAAAATATGTGTCCCCCATTTTATGCCACAAGTTTAAAAGTCTTCTTTTTTTTCTTAAATTCTGTACCCAATCAAATAGGTTCACATAAATTGAAACAGAGGGAGTAATTAATTTTATAAACTGAAATACACATAAAAATTAATCANTGGCCAGTCAAAAGGTTCACAGAAATTGAAACGGAGGGAGTATAAAAGATTTATTTTTGTTTCTGCTTTTTTGTATACTCCTTGTGTACGGGGACTTTTTTAAGCCCCTTCTTAAATGAAATTTATTACTTTTATCAACAAAAATGAAAGTTTCACTTTTAAAATGGAAAATTTTGTCCATTTAGTGGAAAAATAGCTTTTTTTAAGGATTGCACAGGAGCAATCAGTTCAAATCACCGACATATTAGTCTTTTTCCCCTTTTCGACCTTCTGATGTCAATATTTTATTATCCATTTCTTGCTATATTTTCAGTGGCTAGCTCAATTGTTAGATCTACTGTCGATGTTAAGGATATTTTTGTCCATCTTGAAGGATGTGCTCTCTAACATCACAACTCTCTTACAGAATATTTTTTTGGAAGGGAATATATCAGACAGCGGTGATGCTCAGCGGGAAACTGAACCTAAACCTTCAGAACTGGTGTCCTCTGGATCTCTGGTCCTGGACCATTTACCCCACACTCTAGAAAAAGACCTCATTCTGGTACCTCCCTCTAGCCTAGCATTCTTTTGAACGTACAAGTGAATTTTTTTTAAATGCTGGAAACAAAACTAAAGCATCTTCTAGTGTTTTTCTGGTTTGGTGTAGAAATGATAAGAGGACAGGATGGAATGGAGGTAATACATTTGGCTCTTGGGTTGGTAGAATATGAAAAGAGCCTAGAGAACTTCTCCTCCTGAATTGTCTTCCACTTCTTATGAAGCCAATTTTTAATTTCATCCCTTTCCGAATTAACTATAAAGATGCTTTAAACTTTGCTTCTTTAGGCACACTTGCTTCGGCTTGCCTGCGGCGCTAAAGGACCGCTATCTGATGCTTTGCCAGAAGTAACATCAGAGCTCTTTGACCTTGGGGTATGATCAACTTAATCTAGTTATTTTTTATGATTTTCTGCTTAAGTTTTTGTTCTTCATTTAATTCACTAGGTCATTACTACAATTAAATCTGATAAAATTTTTATTGCCTCTGAAAATGACTTATCTTTAAGATTGTCTCCAAACGTGTACAAGATTTGGCAAGCAAACCTTCTTCAATTTTTGATGGGACTTTTGATCGTGTTTTTCAAGCACATAAGGTAAAGTTTATTGTTTTTTTCTTGACTGGCTTCTTTTTTGCGTCAGTTGTACGTCCATGTTGTTGACAGTAGTATTGTAATTTCCAACAAATGAACTTAATAGGTGTCATCAAAGCTCTCACAATTTTGGAAAGCTTCATCTGAATTTGAAGGGCAGAATTCTTCACCTCCTCAAAACTCTCGTTATTTGAATGACTTTGAGGAGCTCCAACCCCTAGGTGAGTGAAAGTTTTTCCAGCTTATGTGCTTTTCCCTTATTTCTAACCTTTAGCGATGCATCTATCATTTTGAAGAAAATATAAACTATTAATCTCTGTCACAATAAGCAATTTGTTCTCCTCTATTTTTTATGGTAGTTAAAAAAAGAAAAAAAGAAAAAAGAGAAATGTATTCGATTTGCTGCACTGCTGCAGTCTCATTCTACAATTGGTGTCTTTGATAAAAACGCCCGATAAACATCCTAGTACGTTTTTTTATAAAGTAATAAATTTCATTAAAATAAGGGCATAAAACATGCCCGTATATAAGAAGTATACCAAAAAGTAAAAAACCTTGCAAAAAGACATGATTTCTAGGAATGACACCCAATCTTTTTGTGATGTTTTGTCAATCCTTAACTGAAAGGCTTGTGAGGGGACCTCATCCAGGTTCATCGTTATAATTTTCTCGCTTGAGTTAATGTTTCTTTTTGTATATTTACGTGAGCCTGTCTTGTTCGAAACCTCCAAAGCAAAATGATAATACGAAATGCACATAAATTATTTGTATATTGAACAGTGCTCATAAGATTAAGCTTCAGAGTTAAGACATTTAGAAACAGTAACACATAAGGTAATATTTGTAGCATCACACTCACTAATGTAGATTTTAAACGTTGTAATGGTGGATGTATGGCTGGGTTGTACAGTTTCTTTTGTAATATCAAAACAGAATGTTGGTAGCCCTCTTTTCCTGGATTTAGCAGGACATTCGCCCTTGTATAGAGGACTGGTTAAGCTGAACCAAGAATAATTTGTGTGCGCAATAATTTTCTTCTTATATAAACTTGGAAACGAGGTCCCTTTTGATATTCATACTCATTTATTATATACAAAATGGGATACGCTTAGACCTAGACCAAAAGTTAGTGGCTTGTAGTGAGACGAGTTTGGGATAGCTTGATCCTAATATTATTCACAGCATTGCTGCACACTCAAATTTATGAGCTCGTTTTGGAATGCCTAATAACCGTCTTCAGTCTTTCCCATGTGCACATTTGTGCTGGTACAAATATGTTTTCCTGATTATTTACATTTTAGGTCAGGGTGGGTTTGGTCACGTTGTGTTGTGCAAGAATAAGCTTGATGGGAGGCAATATGCAGTGAAGAAGATTCGATTAAAGGACAAGAGTCTGCCTTTAAATGACCGTATATTGAGGTTTGTATCCGATGTTGATTCGGCAGATATTAGTGTGACTTTTGTGCAGAAAACTAAGTAGCATTCAATGTTGAACCTTGGTGCTAGAGTGTTAATACTGTGCTTCATCTTTGTTATTGTCATTGCTCATTTACATGCTTATTCCTTTTTATAGATGCCATAGTTATTCTTACATCTTGTTTTTTGAGTTATTTTACCTGATTTAATCGGTATCAGTATTATAATTAGAACTGTTGTTTATTCAAGGAACAAAAACTGTATTAGTAGATTATTCATTTTTAAAGTAAATAGATTAACTTTTTATTAGTTACTTTACAGTCGCTCTTTTAAATAATCGAAACAGTTGTAACAATTCACCATCTTTGATGTGCTGAAAGTTGGAGAACATGCAATTTTAAATAAGAATATTTGCCAATTATCTAGTTTCCATAATGACTGGCGTGCATGGGGTTTGGCAGGATGGAAGGCTAGTGCCACTACCATAAACTGGAGGGTCGGAACCGGCAGCCAACAACATAGGGGGTAGGGCGAACCCATATGTGATAATACCTATCATGCATCATCATTGCTCAAATAATTCTCAAAATTTGATGCATAGACCCATAACATGAATACACGTCCCATTAAGGTATTACATCTAATACTCCCACAAGGTCATCATGGAGCTCCTAAAAGTGTCAAAAGCTGAGACGCAACACGTACACAAAAGATAACAAATGTAAAACCACCTAACCACCATGAACGGAGGTGGAGGCCAACCAATCCGTCTGGAACAAGTCGAAGCCACATGTGAGGCTAGCTGATACCTGCTAAAGAATCTGCAGAGCAAAGATAATTGAGTGAAACGAAAAAAAGAAATGAAAAAAGGTATGACAACCCATTATGTCTCATTGGTCGCTGCATAAAAGTTGGGACAAGTCCTAGAGAAAACATGACATGCAATTTTATTGGTAAAAAACATTTGAAATCATAAGTCAAATTCAGAACCATAAGCATAAATCCATACGATTAACATAAATACACACTGAGTATACTTCATGATTTTGACATAACGATGTATCAACACAGTTCTATGACCTACCACAGTACAACACGGTAAAGCCGGGGATGGAAGCAACCCATAGTACCACCAGGGGCGGATCTACTTTATGAGTTAGGGGTACCACGGCACCCGCTCGCTTCGCTAAAATTCTCATTGTGTACGTAATATCTCTGTGAAGAAACGTATAAATGGATAGAGTGGCACCCAGAAGTCACAAAGTGAAAGCGGGTGCCATTGGTTCAGCCTTCTCTTTGAAGGCTTTCCTTGGCCTCATGAATGCAAGTTCGATTCCCTGTTGGAGCAGCTCCTTTGATTTTTCTTTTTTTCTACTTATTAAGATTTCCTTTATTTTCAGTTGAACCCTAGGGCCTCACCTCTTTTCCTTCTTTTTTAGTTCTTTCCTTCCTTTTATTACTTGCTAAGTCTCTCTTCTTCATTTTTTAAACTTTCAGTTCCCATTTTGTTTCTATCATTATACCTTATTTTATGAACAATTATTTTTTATAGGTAATTTGAATTGATTTTAATTAGCATATAATTTCTTTATTTTTAATGACGATATTAATTTATATAGTGGAATATAATTTGAGCAATATCTTCTATTGGGTTTTGAAAAAAAATTAAATGGCTTGATTGATAGTCGTTTTGAGTCGAATATCATAGGTTGAATGTTGAAGGTTTTTCTTTGAAAATAATTGTCATATAAGTCAACAATTACGATGGAAAAATAAACAAAGAACAATACAAGTAAATTAATCTAGTCAAACAAAGAATATATAGTGTAGTTAAGGTACTCTTTAAGCAAATACTTATATTGGAGGCGCTCTTTCATGAAATATTATTTTTCTTTTGCATTTTTATTTAGAATGTGTTTAAATTAAGCGTTAAAATTTTGAACTAAAATCGAACTTATTTGCTTTGTGAATGAAAGGCCTATTCAAATTAACCAAAAACTAACCGAACCGACCCATTATTCCTAATCTATCTTTGTAACTACTGACATGTATATTGTATGCATAATATGGCGGCACCCGCAACCTTCGAATCCTGGATCCGCCTCTGAACCACTAGGGTACGTCAAAGCTAATTCTATGGTGTCAACGCGAATGGGCATCAACTACATGGATATCCAAGTAATAAAGCCGCACGGGCATCAATAACATGACTTCCGAGTAAAGCAACAAGGGAACAACCACTCGAGCATTAAAAAACAAGGGGGGCTTCAAGCACAAAACAATCTGCGGATCAAAGGTAAGTGAGTGGCCACCACGAATGGAGGGTTGAGGCTAACTGCTGCGACTAGAACAAGTTGAAGTCATATGTGAGGCTTGCCGGACCTGCTAAAGGATCTAGAGATCAAAGGAAAGTGAGTGAGTCTTGCGACCCACTATGTCTCATCGACCGCTTCTAAAAGTTGGGATAAGCCTTAAAGAAAACATGACATGCAATTTTATCGGTTAAAAAACATTTGAAATCATAGGTCACATTAAAAACTATAAGCGTAAATCCATACGATTAAAATAAATGCACACAACTGAGAGAATACTTCAAGACTCTAACATAACCATCCATCAACATGGCGTATGTGACCTACCCCAGTACAACATGGTAAGGCCGGGGATGCTAGAACCCATAGTACCACAAGAGTACGCCAAATCCAATTACGTGGCTCAAGGTAGAACCCCATGTGCATCTACCACATGGGTATCCAAGTAATAAACCCGCATGGACATCTACCAAATGACTTACAAGTAAAGTAACTAGGGTATTAACCACTCGAGCTTTAAACCACGGAGGCATCAGTCACAGAAGTATCAAAATAAAGTAATTCCACACCTGTATGTGTGGTTATGGTGTGAAAGACCCCTTCAAAAGAAAGGCGAACATCCAACTCAGATGTCTATAATATCTCCTAGAAACATAATTACATATAATCATAAGGCTTCGGGCCATCAAAAGCATAAGGCATTCCCTTAAACATAATCATCTTAAACTTTAGCATAAACATGTTGATATATGTCAAAAATCACTTTGGAAACGGGTAACTTCATAAAAACATAAAGTAGTCCAAAAAACGTAATTTGCATGGTCAACATATCATTTCATAATTTCCTAACTTAGAGACGCAAGCACATGCTCGTCCCCACATGCACAAGGTACAAAATACTTCAAATCATTTTCGTGCATTTCATCATATACTTGGAAAGTATGTATTTTAAAGAAAATACAATTAGAGGGCTCAGTCTCCACTTAGTCAAATTGAGCATAAATATGCAAAATTTTTAATATTCGACTACCATGTCAATCTATAAAAATATTACATGAGGGTGAGTCACTCATAGAGATGAGGAAAAATTTGAGTACTGCCACTATAATTGAATAGTATTGTTTTATACATATTTTACATGGATTTGTTTTTTTTTTTGTGTATGACTAATAATGTCACATCATAAATTAGCTTTTGCCAAAAAGACAATTTGTGGTGCTTGTTTGAGAAAGTAAAATATCCAAGACAATATTATATCAGATTCTTATTGACATCCTAATCTCAAAAGGCATATGTATTGTGCTGTTATATTCGTAAGAACATAATATGATTTTCCTTGTGAGAAGCTAAAAAGAAAAAAAATGTTGTTCCCTCAAAACTTAAATTTTCATTTCTGCAGTTCGACACATTACTTCAATATTAGGGGTATTAAGCGAGACCAGTTTTCTTCATGTCCGTTCTTTCCTAGATGCTGCAGAATTCTTGTTTCTTTTAACAAATTAAGTTCTGAACCTTCCCGTTCAATGCTAGAATTAGAAGTTGATTAGCTACAGATATAGTAGGTATCCATTTGAAACTTTAAAGATCTTTTGTCCTTCCGTTATAAATATTTTCATTCCAGATATCCTGGCAAAATTTTGTGCTGCATTCCGAATCAATAGCCATTGCTGGAGAAAAAGGAATTCCTGATGCATTTTTTACTTCTTAACTGTCTGTTTTTTCTTTTGTATTGGTTGGCTTTTAATCTTATGCAGCTTAATAATGCTTATACAAAGCGACTAGGTGGCATTACCTAATTCAGCATTTCTGAGACTATTCCTCCTATAACCTACATGTCTCCTGCTATGCTGATTTTTTTTCCATCTTGGTTATACCCTTCAGTTCCATGTTTACACACACACCCCTCTCCATCTCTTTCTTCTCTTTGGTACAACCTAGGCTTCCAGCAATTTTTCATTTGTTTCCCATATATTTGCAAGCGAAAGTTTGTTACTCCCTCCGTTCCAGTTTATGTGTTCACAATGTTAACGGAGGGAGTACATAGTCTCCTCTTCATGGTAAACTTGATATTTTGGCTGTGACTTGTTGGCTTGGAGATGAGGAAAAAGAAATATTCTGCTTCTTGATGTATAATTTGTGCAATACTAGCAATGAGCCCAATTCAGACTTTCCTATCCATTACCCTTTGGAAAGGGATTATCGATGAGATGATTTCGCAATCATGAAGAACCATGTGATTTTACCAGATTTACCCTCATATATATATATATATATATATATATATATATATATAATTTCTTTTTCTTTCTTTCCTCTTGGCCTTATTCTGATTTTGTGTCTTCTTCCCTCTGCATGTTCACATAAGCTTTTTTTGATGTTTCTCTACCTTCTCTTATATCTCTTTTGCTGTATTTCTGGTCTCAGCATTTTCTTTTCGCCTTTATTTGGCTATGTGATTGAGCTCTCTTTAATGCTTTCCTATCTCAATCGCACTGAGAATAGTGTTTCATCAATTCATGTGTCACACTCTTTTTCTGTGGGGGTTCATGTTTTCCATTGACAATATTCGTCATTACCCGTTACATGCTCTATATGTCAGCAAAGACTTCGTCGGCTTGCTATGGAGTTGTTTTTATGACTACATAAAGCAGAATCTTTATGATTTCCTAGATACTTGACATTGTGTTACTTCAAGAACTTTCTTCTTCCATGTTATAGGGAAGTTGCCACACTTTCGCGGTTGCAGCATCAGCATGTTGTTCGCTATTACCAGGTATGTGATATAAATCTTGTGGGAGCATTTCAAAGTCATTTTTTGAGTTCAAGGTGCCCCTTTGTTTTACAATGTTTAAAATCTAATACTTGAATTATATCAGGCATGGTTTGAAACAGGCATCACTCTATCTTGCGATGATTCCAGCTGCGGTTCCAGAACTGTTGTGAGCTCTAGTTTCACCTATGTGGATGGAAGTATGTCGGACCACCTTGGACAGGAGAATAAGCTCGAGCTGACTTACCTATATATCCAAATGGAATACTGCCCAAGGTTCTCCCTCTTTTTTCTTACCTGTTGGAATTTCTGCATCCCCTCTCCACTTTCTTTCTTTTTAAAAGAAAGAGAGCCACTTATGTCAAAAACCACCCAAAAAAATTTCAAAAGGTAAGAGAGCCTACCCAGGATTAAAGGGAGAAAAAATTGGGAAACTCGATGCTTTCCGTTTTATTTATGATCTTCCTTAATACCTTAACTCATTTGTTCTTTTATGAACTTTCAGCCAATCATCCAGTACTCATTATCCTCCGCTGTGTCTCCTTTCTTCTAAACTAGATGGTGTTGCACTGTTGCTTGTCCTCCATTTGCAGGATTTAACATGTCTCCTGCCTTTTCTTATCCTTGCTCTGGGGTTCTTAATGTTTCTTGAAGAAATCAAGCCACTTCCTCATTTTAGTTAAGCTCTGCCTTTTTTGCCTATGGTACGTGCAAGCTCTGGCTAAACAAGATAAAATTGGCCTCACAAGTGTCATGCTCGTAATGTCACGAAAAACGTGGGAAAATAGAAATAAGTTGCAGCTTAAAGCCAGAGAATAAACAAATCTACGTACAAAACTGGGAAAGTAAAATCAAGTTATAACTTAAAGCCAGAGAATTAACAAATGCTGCAAACGACTTACTCTGCATTCTCTATGCATCTAAGAAACAACACAAAATATGAACGTTTCCCCTATAACCAGCAATCCAGTAAATGAGAAGAATAGGTTGTAAATAAGCAGGATGAGTCATTCCCCTAATAAAGTTTTCCTATTCCGTTCAATCTATAATCAAGTTATTTTATTAGGGATTTTCCTCCAGCTTCCTACCTTTTCTGTGTTAGACAGAGCACCATCCACGAGGATAGAATGTCTTTGAAAGACAGTGATAACCAAGTGAATCTACAGACCATTAATCAATAGCCCTTCTATGTGGCAGAAGGAGATTTGCTTTCTCTTTTCCGTACTACAATCAGGCCATTGCTTGTCATGCCCCAATGGTGAACAACAACCATGGGAGAGAAAGTATCACTGTAATCGAGCCCAAATATCTGAGTATATCCTTTGGCAACAAGACAGGCCTTAAGTCTATCAACCTGGCCATCCGGACCAACTTTGACTGCATAAACCCAACAACAACCAACAATAGATTTACCTGAAGGAAGAGGAACAAGCTCCCAAGTATCACTCATATGTAAAGCAGACATCTCGTCAACCATAACCTGTCGCCATCCTGGATGAGATAGTGACCTGTAGAGTTAGGGATGGAAACAGAGGACAAAGAAGGTACAAAAGCATAATGCGGTGGTGACAAACAATGATAACTTAAACCGACATAATGTGGATTAGGATTAAGTGTGGACCGTATACATTTTCGAAATGCAATCGACGGACGAAGAAGAGACACGTCCGCAGTAGGAGCAAGGTTAGGTGCAAGACGTGAATCATCTGGGCCTGATGTTGGAAGCGGACGACGACAATAAGTCAAGAGTGGTGTTCCTATGGCTGGGGATCTAGGATGAGCAACACTAGATTTTTCAACGGTTGTGGTTGAGAATGTAGGAGGAGCTATAAGTGGTGGGGCTGGAGCTAGAGCTAGAGTTGGGGCATTAGGTGATGGAGCCGTGGAGGAAGGTGAAGGGGAAATAGTAATTGAATCTCCAAAAGATGGAACTGGTAGCACCTCAGAAATGTCTAAATGACCACCTAGGCATGTGAAATGTGGATGAGTTTCAAAGAAGGTTACATCAGCAGACATAAGGCACCGGTGGAGGTCAGGTGAGTAGCATTGATACTCTTTTTGCGTTCTCGAGTAACCTAGAAATACACACTTAAGAGCTCGGGGAGCTAACTTATCTTTTCCTAGAGTAAGGTTATGAATAAAACATGTGCTCCTAAAGACACGAGGTGAAAGAGAGAACAAGGATGAGTGAGGAAACAACACAGAGAATGGAATTTGATTTTGGATAGTTGAGGATTGCATACGATTAATAAGATAACAAGATGTAAGAACTGCAATCCCCCTAATACGCAACGAAACCTGAGATTGTATGAGTAGGGTACGAGCAGTCTCAATGAGATGCCTATTCTTCCTTTCCGCTACCCCATTTTGTTAGAATTGTGTATGGACTAGATATTTGATGAATGATCTCTTGAGAGTTCATAAACTGCTGAAATGGAGAAGACAAATACTCTGGGGCATTATCACTACGGAATGTGCGGATAGAAACCCCAAATAGATTTTGGATTTTAGCGTGGAAGCTCTGAAAAATAGAAAATAACTTAGATCGATTTTTCATCATGAATATCCAAGTGCACCTGGAATAATCAGTAATGAAACTAACAAATTAGCGGAATCTCAAGGTAGAACTGACCCGACTAGGACCCCAAACATCTGAATGGACTAAAGTGATATGTGACTCGGCTCAATTATCACGACGCCGAGGGAAATGGGAGCGACTATGCTTAATGAGCTGGCATGACTCACACTCTAGAGTGGACAAGTGAGACAAACTTGGTACTATTTTTTGAAGTTTTGATAAACTGGGATGTCCGAACCGTTTATGTAATAAATCTGGTGAATCAGTAACAGAACAAGCTGTTGATGTGGGTTCATGTGATTTAGTAAGGATAAGTTAATAAAGTCCATTTGATTCACGCCCGGTACCAATGATCCGTCTCGTACTGTGTTCCTGTATAAACAAGGTCATCAAGAAATAAAACAGAACATTTAAGTGATTTGGCAAAGCGACTAACCGATATGAGATTAAAAGGACTATCAGGAACATAAAGAACTGAATTCAAAGGTAAAGAAGGAAGTGGACTTGCTTGACCTATTCCGGTTGCCACGGTTTGAGACCCATTGGCCATTGTGACCGTTGGAAGAGATTGAGAATAGGAAATAGTAGTGAAAGCAGATTTATTACCAGAAATATGATCAGGCGCTCCCGAATCAATAACCCAATTACTGGAAGAAGATGATTGCGAGACACAAGTAACGCTATTACCTGTTTGAACACCAGTAGCAATCTCAAAAGATGTCTGTTTATATGCTTTGTACTGAAGGAACTCTATATTTTCCGATAAAGAAACCATCTGGATTGGATTCAATGCATTGGATCCAACGGATTGTGAGTCAAAGGCTTCTGATACGAATGACATTATAATGTTTACGCCGGAAAAACCAGAAAATTTTCTGGAAACCACTGTTCACGCCGGAAAACTCACTGTTCATGTCGGAAAAATATAAAAATGGTCGGAATTTGGTTTAAATAGGATGGGTAGGCTCAAAATTGCAAGGCGATCACACTGTCCTATAGAAAGTTTTTCAAAATCTGGCCGCAACAGGCCTCACGCGCCGGCGCATGGGATATACTGGCCGCCGGAAGCAGATCTCCGACAGGCGCGTGGAGGCGTGTGAATGGTATTTTCCGGAGAGTTTTTCTGGGGTTTGGTCGCCTCTCTCTTGAGAACCTTGTGGTGTTGTTGGATTTTGCACAACACCAAAGGAAAAAAAATGGAACGCATATCAGCCCTAAAAAGGTCGCCGGAATTGAAGCATGATGACTTACTCCTATTACAAACGGGACTAGGACTAATTTTTTTTATTTTATATATATATATATA